TTTCGAAATTTTGTAACATAATTAATATTAATGTTTGTGAATTTATTTATGTTTGTGTACGTAAAAAACAAAATCTAACTTGTTTGAATATATTAAATTAAAATTTACTTAAAAAAAGAATTTTTTCTAAATTAATTTTTCCTGTTTATTTTGTTTACGCATTTTACCTCCCTCCTCCTTACTCGTATTCTCTCTCCTACCACTTTTACCATCATATCCTTTTCTCAATGAGGTCTTTATCATTAAAAGTTTTTTAATTGCTTTTTTACATGGTCGAAGTCATAAGCTCACATTCCTTTTATCCTTTCCTATATACTCAAAATTCCTTTATCTCCTATAAATACGTATATAAATTCTATGAGAGTAAAATCTTTGAGCCTCCTTATTATATTGGTTTCATTATTGCTAAATTATTATGGTATAGTATATATATGCGTATATTTATATTTGGTTAGCTAGTGGTTTAATAAATTGACAACATCAACTTTTTTTTAAAAAATAAATAAAGGTATTGTTGTAAAAGCCCAAAAAGAAAGATTAAGTCGCAACAAAATGCTTTTGATGAAAAGTCAACTAAAATTTTTTAAAAGACAAACTCCAATTGCATGTAAGTCGCGATTTTCATCCATCTATTCAATTCCTATCTAATTATCTAATTTAATTCATTTCTATTTATCTGTTGCCATCACACGCACATATAGCACAATCCGCAAGCAAAAAAACTTCAACAAAAAGCTCGGCAAGTTCGAGTGCTACTATAAGCACAACGAACAAAAAAAGCGTCACTAAATCTATTTCCTCAAGTAGTAGTACAAATAGTCAACCGTCGCCGACTGTAACTAAAGTCGAATCATCAATTACGACCAAATCGTCATCTACAACTGATCCATCTTCATCATCAATAACCGATTCTTCATCATCAATAACCGATTCTTCATCATCAATTACGACCACGAATAATGGAATCACTACCGAACTTCCTACAATATCCATTCCAACCAATGCATCAACTACACAAACAATAATAATAGTAATAAGGGTAGAAAAAGAAGCAGTGGCAGTAGTAAATCCAATAATTTCAAACCAATTAATTC